TTTTGATTTTAGATATAAAGACTGGTGCGACAATCTGTTGTGGAAGTCAGTTTCCTGAATTTCGTGTTTTATTACGAGAAGATCCCTTTATAAAAGTCATCAAATCTCCAAAACCAAGTGATATATGTGAAGAAAATTTAAATATAAATAACCTAAAACAATCTGATATACACCAGGGTATAGATAAACCACACAGTCAGGTAATCTGTGGAAAAGTATCTGTAATGGTGGATTATGGAAAGCAAGACACAAGGATACATTCTGAAGAGAATCCATATCTTTGTATAGTGTGTGGAAAGAACTTTGGAAGAAACTATAGCTTAAAACAACATCAAAGAATACACACTGGGGAGAAACCTTACAGTTGTACGGTTTGTGGAAAACTTTTTGTAACAAATAGTAGCTTAAAAACACATCAGAAAATACACACTGGGGAGAAACCTTACACTTGTGGAGTTTGTGGAAAACACTTTGGAACAAGTAGTAGCTTAAAAAAGCATGAAAGAACACACACTGGGGAGAAACCTTACAGCTGTGCACTTTGTGCAAAACATTTTCCAACAAATAATGAATTAAAAAAGCATGAAAGAAGACATACTGGGGATAAACCTTATGGTTGTGTAGTTTGTGGAAAACACTTTTTAACAAATGATGAACTAAAAATACATCAAAGACGACACACTGGAGAGAAACCTTACAGTTGTGCAATTTGTGGAAAAGACTTTATAAGAAATTCTGAATTAAAACTGCATCAAAAAATACATACTGGGGAGAAACCACACTGTTGTACAGTTTGTGGAAAACATTTCAGAAGAAACTATAGTTTAAAAATACATCAAAGAATACACACCGGGGAGAAACCATATAGTTGTATAGTTTGTGGAAAACACTTTGAAACAAGTGGTAGCTTAAAAACACATCAGAGAATACATACTGGGGAGAAACCTTACAGTTGTACGGTTTGTGGAAAACATTTTGGAGCAAATAGTAGTTTAAGAAAGCATGAAAGAATACACACTGTGGAGAAACCTTACAGTTGTGCAATTTGTAAAAAATACTTTAGGAAAAATGCTGAATTAAAACTGCATCAAAGAATTTCCCACAAATTCCACAACAGTAAGGTTTCTCCCCAGTGTGTATCCTTTGATGATATTTTAAGGAACGGTTTGTTGTAAATTGATTTCCACACACTTCACAACTATATGGTTTCTCCCCAGTATGTATTCTTTTATGATTTTTTAAGTTAGAGTTACATCCAAACTGTTTTCCACAAACATCACAATGGTAAGGTTTCTCTCCAGTGTGTTTCTTTGATGCAGTTTTAATTCAGAATTTCTTATAAAGTCTTACACACTCGGGAGAAACCTTATCATTGTGATGTTTGTGGGAAACAGTTTAGATGTAACTCTAACTTAAAAAATCATAAAAGAATACATACTGGGGAGAAACCATATAGTTGTGAAGTGTGTGGAAAACAATTTGGAAGCACCTCTAACTTGAAACAACATCAAAGAATACACACTGGGAAGAAACCTTAAAGTTTTATGATTTGTAAAAAATAACTATCTATAAACTATACATTTGTGGTCTATGTGTAATAGAACATTAAACAAAGTGATTTAAAAATGTATCAGAGAATACATACTGGTCAGAAACCTTACAGTTGTGTAGCTTGTGTAAAATGCTGGGACAAATTGATATTTCAAAACATATTAAATAATACATACTGCAGAGAACAGTTGTGTAGGTTGTGGAAAAGATGTTGGAACAAAAAACTGAAGTAAAATTATTATTATTAATGTTGGTTGTTGTGACTATACCATCATATTGATTTTACACTCTAACAAGTTCGTGATGATCATGTAAAGACTAAAAATGCTTTCGTAAGGGGAGTTGCAAAATAAATCACACTTTTTTTTCCCCCGAAGTAATGATGAACTTGGTAGGACCATGAATATCATCAATCATGAGGAAACCTCATTTCAACGTACTCTTGGGTGTTTGATTCTTCGAATTTCATTTTTTGCAAATCATTTGAATCATATCTGTCACTAGAACTCAGGTTCATGTTGCATGTGCTGCCTTCAGAATGGCTCAGAAACTAGTTGCAGACATGCTCTGATAATTCAAGTCTTCCAATCATCACATCGCAATGCCAGATTTGAAAAATCCAATTAATTCCTCAAAAGTTTCAGAATTGTTGAATTTGAAAAAGTGGTTGAATGTGGATTGGGAACTCTCCAGATTTCAGTCTCGCCGAAAATATCGGATCTTTCATTCAACAATGTACAGACAAAATGTTGGAAACTTTGCCTGAATGCAAGAGACATAAAAGTGAAACCTTGATTCGTGTTCTCACTGATGTGCTCACAAAGACAGACATGTTTGTTGCATTTTTGAAATCTTTTGCAAATCGATTAAAACTCGTGCGTGAGAACAATGGTGGCCCAATCAAGTGATATTGATACTTGGAATTACTTTTTGATTGAATTAAAATCTTATTTTACGTTGTTATGCTCTCGGGGAAAAAAAGTGTTTTTATTTTGCAACATCCCTTACATTTTGTATTTACATCTACAGTTTTTTTCAGTATTTCTGCATATTGTATGTGGTATTTACTCTATCACTAACTGTATATCAATTAGTAATGTAAAGTAAATAGCTTATAACTCTGACACAAAATAAAGATGTATATAAAAAACAAGTGTTGTTTGGTCAGTCAGTCAGTTGTTCATGAGTTACACAAGTAAATTCCACTTTTCTTCTATGATATTTCTTTCTTTAATTGCCCATATCCATTTTAGTTGAATTTAATTGCTAAAATAGATGTAAATAGCTCCTACATAATGCCATGCTCCTACAGGCATGGCATTATGTGTGTGTGTGTCACCACATCGTTATGCCATCAAGCTAGGTAGACTCCATTTGTTCTTCATTGTTTGATATGGTTCCACCAGCCTACAACAAGAATGGCTGTGAGGATTGTAACAAAACATGGGTAATATTACTAAACAAATCATTGTGTATTGTATATAGCTGTGTGCTGTTGTCGATGTAACTTAATGTTTATATGGCAGATATGAAACATGTACCATAGCAATTATTAACTTGTTTTTGGAACCTTATTGTTGTGTATCATTTATTTATAGATAGGATTACTGTCCTTTTGGATGCGATACTGATGACAGGATCAAATTTTTTTTAACACTGCATGATTGATTTTGGCCATGTTACATAACCTTCTGAAATGTTATACAAACATCTCCCACACCAGACATCTTAAAGTCATAGTTTAAAATATAGCACTAAGCTGAGTTTGAGCATTGCATCAGCAGTCACAGTGATGGCTGATGGTAAGTGTCGAATTATAGGCAACACTGTGTGATTCCGAATATTATAGATACTGCAGATAGAGTAGCCATCCTTGAAGCTGACTTTAAGGAATGACAAGAATCATGCAAGCAGGAGATGGGCAATTCTTGGCAAAAGGGAATCAGAAATTTTGTAGTTATACATTTTATTTAGAAAATGCTTAGTATCAGATAAAGTTTGTAGCAGTGACGCCAACCAGAGTTTAGGGTCGTCACAGTTAGAAGTGTAATGACGTAAACTCCATCAAGAATGGACGGGAGAAATGTATATTCATATAATCAATTCATAATTATTAATTACAACGTTTTCAAACTTGTAGAGTGTGCAGGATATCACTTTTAAATATTACAGTTTTAGTAATGGAGTCAAAATAGAGATTTGTAGCATGGGGAAATAATGTCGACACTATGTCTCAAACCTTAAGCTTGTTTGTTTACTTTTTTGGCAACTACATTTTCACGTTAAGCTAGTTACCTTTTTTCTGTATTATGACATAAGAACATGAACACAGTTGTCAGTAAATTGTATCAATTATGTTAAGATATATTGTCAGTACTAACACAAGGTGATGCTAATAAGTAAACTGTATCAGTTATGTTAAAATATTTTGTCAATACTAACACATGATAATGCTGATAAATTTTCACATGAGCACAGCTATAAGTAAATTGTATCAGTTATGTTAAAATAAACTGTCATTACTAACACATGATCATGCAGTTGTCAGTAAATTGTATCAATTATTTTAAGATACATTGTCAGTACTAACACAATGTGATGCTGATAAGTTATGACATGAGAACATGAACACAGTTGTTAGTAAATTGTATCAATTATGTTAAAATGCACAGTTAATACTAATAAATGTTGTATGAAAAAAAAGGGTGTATCACACACTCATAGTTAGTTTTATACTTTATCTACTTACCTTGTAAACCACTACTATATATAAACATTATACTATGTTACACAGACTGTTTGATGTAAACTTGTAGTTAGGTATGTATACCATTTACTTCCCTGTACTCTGTAAATCACTGTTATGTATTTAAATGTTTGATGCCCTGGTCTTGGAAAGCTGGTTTTAATGGAGTTGTGGTTTGATCTTAACAGTTTCAGGAATTTATTTGACAGCACATGTAAAAATCTCTGTTACTTTGCACCCAGTATAGAATATTGGTATTAATAATGTCCATCTCTCATGCTTTCGTTACTTTTTAAAGGTTTTTTCAGTTTAAGTAAGGACTAATACTGAACCATACTTACACAAAAAATTCTTTCTTTTCTTGTACACAATACATACATCTCTACATACAATTTTTAAAATATATATCTAGATTTAACAAGGCTTGACCAATGTTGACTCTTGTTGATCAGTCCTGATCATTAATTGTTAGGTTACTTGGGATCAGACAGTGCTACTGCACTACTACTGGCCAGATTGTCTGTTGTTGGTCTCCATTATTTGGGTATGGACATCAAACAAAGTGTCATTTGATATTGTGTGGAGCTGTATCACACCCATAATTGGCCATATTAATCCACATGGTCTGTTCTTCTAGGTATATCATTCACTGTTATGTTACTTGGGGTTGGACATCAAACAAAGTGTCATGTGATATTGTGTGGAGCTGTATCACACCCATAATTGGCCATATTAATCCACATGGTCTGTTCTTCTAGGTATATCATTCACTGTTATGTTACTTGGGGTTGGACATCAAACAAAGTGTCATGTGATATTGTTTGGTGCAACATCAAACCCAAAACTCCACCACGATTGGCCATATTCATCCGTATGGTCTGTTCTTGCTCAAACAAGTCAACAATCTTTTGCCACTAAAATTAAAAAAAAATAAAATAAGAACTAAAACATTGGAATTATTATATCAGCAGTTTAGAACAACAATTATACAACTATTTCATTCATAAATGTTGTAATGACTACAAAATAATATTTTTGGCTACAAATATTAATAAAGAAATTTAAGAGGATGCTCTTTGGATAGTTTTCATGTATGGAAAGACAATATATCTACAAGAGTTTATTTGAATTTTCAATATTATTTAAGAGTTAGAAAGAATAGTGTGTGTGTGAAATACAAAATTATAGATTTTTTTATGACTCCCCCCCTTAGATTTCCTGATGATGGTTCCCTCATAGTAACTGAGAATCGAGCTATGGATATTAACATTTTCCCACACTGAAAATGTATTTTTGATAGATAAATACCTCTTCTACCATATTAGCTTTTGTGCTGCCCTCTATATGAACAATTTTTCACTCACCACTAACCTTGAGGCTCCCACCTAAACACAAGTTTTTACATGATGTTGCTGCACTGTAGCATGTACCTTCAAAAAGTATAGGGGAACACCCATGGAAGACCATACCCTTTCTGTATCGGGGCATATACACTCTTCACCCATAAAAAATATACATATGTCATTAAGTAGGACAGAAAACAACCACGGTCCAGAATCAGAATATGGACGTGCTAAATGGTGTAGTTTGGCTAGGGTGCATCAAACCGTAGGTAGTGGGTCAACTCCAGTCACAACCCAGGTGTCATCGTGTATTTTTCCTCCAGTCCACAGTAGAAGGAGGGTCCAAACATCTTCACCCAAATCCAAGGAAGCAGAAAGGAAAGATAACTGCCATTCTGTTGACCTAGGGAGTGCTCATACTTGCTGTCCCTGTATACATACAACACCAGGTCACTGGGAACTTGATATCTGGGACACAGTAGGATGGGGGAAAGCATATGTGGTGGGTCAACTCCAGTCCAAAACCAGGCACTGTTAGGTATTTTTCTTCTGGTCTGCAGTAGGAGGAGGGTCCCAATGAATCTACATCCAAAGAAGTACATGCTAAACAGATTATCTACAGTAACCATCCCATAAGAATAATGGGAGAAATATCTCTGGTAGATAAGAAATTCGAAGAACTAGACAGGAATAGTGTAAGCCAAATAACATTGAACCACACAGGTGGGACAAAAAATAGGTGATCAGGATCATAATGAGAAAAAAAGTAAGAAATGGACTGATGGGAAATAACAGTAACTGAGTTGTCCCCTTCACAAGCTGTAGAGGTTTTAAGGAGAAAAGCACTATCAGGATAGAGAAGAATATAAGAATGATGGAAAATAATATGGGAAGCATCAATAACATAGATGTCAGATATCCTATGGCCACAGGCAAAAAAGAAGTAAAAAATACGTTTTACATAAAAAATTGCACAAGGAACAAGAAGCTAAAGGAAGGAAGGGTGTGGGAAGGACTACAGGATAAGAAGGATGAAGAAGATGAAAATAATGAAAGAGCATAGAAAGGACAGGTAGAAGACATGGCAAAAATGGAAAAACCTGAAATTATTAGATAGTGCAGCCCTGTAGCCAGCAATGGTTGAAAGCAATAAGCCTTGTTCGAACAGCAATGTTAAAAGATTCAGAAAGATGGGTGGAAAGGAGGCTGGGAAGGAGAGAAAGCATGATGCAGAGACCAACAATGAAATATGCACCATTTTTAATGACAGACTAGGAAGGAGGAAGAATGAATGGAATGAGAAAGAAGGAAAGCTACATGCGAAGATAGTCTGAACACCAGAGGAGCAAGGGACCACTTGATAGGCCTCAAGAGATGATCTGCAACAAGAGTCAGGGCACCCCGAATATGACAAGCAATAAGATGTACTTGTAAAGAATGGGCCTAGAAAAGGAGGTTAAGTATGTGAAAACAGAGATAGCAAGACTGGGTGACCCCTGGTAACTGATATAAAGAAACAATTGTAGACTTGTCTGTATGGATCATCACTATACAACTACAAACCATCATAATAAAATGATCAAATGCTTGACAAACCACCAAAAGTTCTAAAGAATTGATATGAAGGGATGATTCACTGTGGGACAACCAACCTAACATTTTTCAAGTCTAAATATGCTCCCTAACTCTTCAAAGATGCATCTGCAAACAGATGGAGAACCAGACAAGGGGAGGAACTCCTTCTGTAGTATTGGCTTTGTCAAGACATCAGGAGAAGTCAGTGAACATTGGAAAACAAGGGATTCCGAGCGAGGTTCCACTGATCATACAGAGTCCATTGAAGATATCTCATATGAGCATGACCCAAAGGGATATGGGACTCCATGGACACCCAAGTCCCCCAAAGCAAAAACCTCCTGCATAGTGAGAATAGAAGAGGATGTCATGTTAGTAACTAATCACTCTATATCTCTCAAACCAAGAGGAGATCGCTGAGTTATGCTGAGACATGAATTGAAAAACACACTCAAATGAATGAGATACTGAATTGGTGTGAGATGTGACTTCTGTTTCCCCAGCCAATCCAGATGTGCAGGCTCTTGAAGGAAGAGTATGGTCATAGGAGGAAGGAAATATATGGGAATGGGAGACAAAGGAGGAAGAACAGAAAAATGAAGAGTCAGGCCCTTTGATAACACCTGAATGACCCAACAATTGGCTGCAAGTGGGCATCACAAATCTGCAAACTGAGCCAACCATATATATAATGTGCCCAAATATAATGTATAGTCACAGTCAATACTGATGGATTGGAGAAAAAACACAGGAAGGGAGAACAGGGAGACGAGAAGAAGCTGAAGAATGGGATAGGGTTACACGTGTAGGAGAGGCTTCAAAAGACAGGAAGTCAAAGAACAAATGGAAGAGTGTTTGTGCACAGTCTCCACATGAGATTCCAGAGAATCTGGGACTCCCCCAAAAACAAACTGGCAGAGAAAAGAAGCCAGATGAAAAAACCCAAACAACTTGTATATCAAAACAAAACATTTATTAAATGAAATAGTCTCCATCCTTATCAATGATGCTTTACCATTTTTGAAGCAAAAAACATGTTGATGTCCTCTTTAACACTTTCACATTTGCATGTTATCCCATTAAGATGGTGTTGCAGTGAATGAAAAAGATGGTAATCTGATGGTGCCAAATCTGGTAAATATGGTGGGTGGGGAGAACTTCCCAACCCAACTCCATAATCTTGTGTTGCGTTAAACGTGCCACATGTGGACGTGCATTGTTGTGGAGAAGAACACCTTTCCGATTGACTAGTGAAAGGCGTTTCTGATGAAGGGGTTGATTTAAACATTTGCTGACTATAGGTCTCTGCATTGACAGGTCTCTGCTGTGGATTGAGGAGTTTGAAAATAATTACTTTTTTAATGTCCCACCAAATGCAAAGCATCACTTTCTGCAGATGGAGTCCACTTTTTGGGGTCGGAAGTGTTTTTTGTCTAGGACTGAGCCATTGTTTT